CGCGTTGTGTGTGACGTCTTCTTTTGCGCATGCGGGACGCTTTGAGGGTTCACACTAGAGTGCATTTGCTGTCACATTTTATTTGTAGACAAGCAGACAAAAAAAATCAGATTTGATCAAAAAAATCGGAATTGAGCATTAAGACCTGCAGTGTATAATATAAATACTAATACTAAATAAATAATATAAATGCTTACTTCAAGGCTAGCACAACTGTAGTTGAGGACCCCCACCACTGTCCTCACTCACTCATCACAATATATTAGCATGTCTTCAATAGCTGAACCCTGCATGTGCTTTATGTATTATCAAAACAATAGGAGCCCCTGACTCCTGGGAGGTCAGGCAAACCAGCAAAAGAAGATACAATAGCAGCTTCTGACAGTACAAAATCCATTGGTGGATTTACACTTTTAATAAGTATTTAACAGTAAAACAGAAAACACTCCCTTTGTGTTCTCCTCTAAAACCCAGCCAATTAACTTCAGGAGTTTTGTTAATTTATACAGAACCAGTACAAAGAGCTCTGCAGAGACATTCAGGGTAACTTAAGTCAGCTCTGTTTCACATCATTATCCTTTCTGCACTCCAATTATTTCAATTTCTTTTATGAATAGATGAATAGAAACACCCAGCTCTTGACATCCTCATCATTTAACTGTGTCCTCTCACATCAATGTGTACCGGTGAATGTATGAGCCAGGCTCTTTTGCTCACAGGGAAGGTTGAGTTCACTTGGATGCATCACCCCTGTGAACCTTGGTATGTGGTGTATGAATATGTAAAACTGATTTAATAAGAGAAAGTTTGTTGCTGCCAGAAGGGGAGAGAACAGAATCAAAAGTATTAAAAAGAACTATATTGACAGGCCAGATGAGATAATATTATATATGTTTGTGTTCTGGAGTTCACGGTTTTCCTCATTCAGCGGTCACTGCATGTGTGTGGGTGCATGTTGGCTTTTATGTGGTTACTCACCCTCATAAGACTGAAAGATGATGGGTTCAAGGAGTTCCTGGTATTCTTTGACCTGGGCCTTATTTCCTCTGAAGACCCCTACAAAACACACACACACACACACACACACACACACACACACACACACACACACACACACACACACACACACAATAAAAACATTGAAAATGCTTTTTCACATCTAACTGTTAACTGCATCAGTCAGGCAAAGTTACCCTAATAAAATAGTTTTACAATACTGAAAAATGGTGAGGCACTGTCAATAAAAATCTTCCTAGGTATACAAGATTTTTTTAAGAGCATTTCATTGTAGAGGCTTGTTGGTTATTGATGTATCCGTCTGGATCAGTTTAACTGCCTTTTTTCTTTTGAGCAGAGCCAATAAAGATGAATAGCTTCATATAGAGCAACAGGCCCTGCAGGTTGTCTGTTAGTCTTAAGAAAAATCTGTGGCATATAAAGAGGCAAAGGGGCTATTAGATTTATTTTTATTTTTTTTAAAGGAAGAAAGAAATGCTTAGGAAAAAGAGTCTTTCATTTATTTCTGACCATTTACTTTGGGTCACTAACAAATTTTAAAAAAAAGAAAAAAAGTGTGTATCCATGTCCTCTAAAACCAGAGAAAAACGTAACTTCTTGTAAAACGCTATAAGTCTGTCTTATACCATGGCAATGACCCACTTGAGGCACCATAACAGCAGCAATGGATAGAACAAGGCTTACCGTCAATCATCATGTAGATGAAAAATATGGGAAACTCGCACTCGATCCCATCAAAAAGCTGGAGAAAGACAGAGAGAGGAGGAGAGGAGAGGAATTATTGCTTTTTCGTTTCACAAAGAGAAGAGAGGCGCAGGAGCTTTAAAGCTGAATTTGAGCAGCACTGAATATGGAACAGTATGGCACAGAGAAAAAATATAAAGGATGTGACATTCTGAATGAAACCTGTCAGTATAGAGAGAAATATTACTGATCCTTTACAAGGTCATTTTTTTTCTAATTCAAAAACTTGGCTGTTTGTTTTGAGGAGGACATCTAGAGTTGTGAAAGTTTAGTATGTTTACGATAGACAGACACATAGATGGAAAAACACAGAGAAAGTCGGAGTTTAGTTTTACTGAGGACTCAGTGTCACTTCTCTATCACTGAATAATCAAAATCTTGGCTTTCAGTCTTTTACGACCTAACATGAAATAAGGTATTATTTGTAACCTAGCAACAACAAACACTTAAGAGCAGCGCTCAGAAAATGACACTGTGGCAAAAAACACTGCCATGTTGCCTGTGAACTCAGACCTTCAATATCAAAGATTTGTCAGATTTCACTCAGTATAACAAAGACAAGAGAATTACGATGTATGTTTAACAATATAAATACCTACTCGCTGTGTGCTTAAGTTAAAAAAAAAAAAAAGACATTGTTTGCTTAGGCTGCTGCCCCCGCGACCCGGCCTCGGATAAAGCGGATGAGGATGGATGGATGTTGCCTTTTAGTTCTGGTCGAGTTCTTCTTGACATTTTAGAATGTGAGGTTCACAGTAGTTTTATATAACCTAAAGTTGAAAGTATAAAGTCCAAACAAAAATCCAATCAATAAACTATACCATGTGTTACAAATGGGACTGCAAGCTATCATACATAATTAGTCAGGCCACAAATAAGCTTCAATATACCCTTTAAGGTTTTTATTCAAGTTTCTGAAAGCTTGTTAGAGGCATGTTCTTCCAAAACATTTTTGTTTTTGGATGTTTTAATGATGGTGGTGGAGACTGATCTGGTGACTGTGAAGGCCATAACGCGTGATACTCAAATTCATTGTAGTTCAATGACCACTCCCATCATGACAGAACCGCTCCATCACAGAAGAAAGGTGATTTTGCAGTGACCCTTCCCTCTAAAAGGTCAAGTGAAGCCAAAATGCATCAGCACAATGTCACCACAGCATAACTGAGCCACCTGATCCCACCACAATAGTTGACCAAGTGTTAAGGGTTTTGCCTCTAATCCTATAATTTCTTTTAATTCAAACTATTTATAAATATGGGAGCTTTGGCTCACATTAAATACATGAATTTTATAGTAGATAGTTCTGCTTGTGTATTCATACTAAATCACAAATCAGAATCCTTTGACTGATTCACTTTCTCACGCCAGACATGCAGCAGATTGCTTGGTTGTGGTCCAGCTGTTTAGTGTGCAACAAAGTTTGATTGACAGCTCTCATGTTGCCTGGAACAGACCAACCCAAGTCATTTCAGTAAGATGTTCGGCTTCCTTTAGCCTCCAAAACAACTTCAAAACCCTCGGCACACATTTGTCTGATTTAAGATGAACATAATTTTTTCTAAAAGATTAACTCAGTTGCTGTTTTGACAAATCCACTGCAAAATGTAACCCATGCCTCTTCCCACAAGTAAGAACTAGTGACTTTGTAGGCCATGGCATATGATTTCTATCATTTTTTATACTTATCAAACCATTCAGTGTTTTTCCCTCCTTGCTTCCTCTTATTTGGCCAATTTATTCAGTTTTTTTATTTTTTTATTTAATTAAACCTGTCAGCTCATAAACACATTGCTGTCAAATGAATGTGAATAAATCAAAAGCACCAAGTGGCAGCAGCTAGACAAAAGTTCCCCAAATAAACACTTGAATTCACACCATCACTTCCTGGATTTTTCTCTGAATCTTGCACACTTCATCTGCTGTATTTGCACTGTATCTTACACAAGCACCCATGCACAAACAAACGAACAAAAATCTTAAGCCATTCAATTACAAGTCACATTTACAATAGACAATAAAGCTAAGCAGACAATCATTCACTCTAGTAATTCAGTGCTTAATTAAAGAGGATCAACTCAAAACACTGTCCCTACACAATAACCCACCTTTAGTCACCGAATTTGGAAACACACTAAAAATAATAAAGGTCAGTGTATAAAAAGATCAAACAATCTGCAGAATTTTATTAGCCTCTTAAAAAAAATCCATCGATACAAAATGCATGTGTGCATAAGTCCGTGTGTGTCTGCATTTTAGTCCCTCTATCTATAAAAGTAATTAGTTCTGACTATCTTTGTACCTTATCTTTTTCAATAATCTCTGCGCTGATGGAAGATAACAGAGACATCCTAATGCAATAACAAATGCCTGGCTGAGCTGGCACACATGCTCGTACAAACACACTTAGAAGGTGCTTTTCACTGAGCGGATACTCATGTCTGTATTAATGTGCTTCTTTAAATGTCGGCACTCTGTGATTATGTAGATCTGCAGGTCTCGAGGTGTATATTTCACCAAAGACGGGAAGCAATAGCAGCTATCAGGTGGGTTATAGAGAGGAAGGAAAAAAGAAAGGCAAGTGCATAAAGAGATAGAGAAGCAGGGGAGGGGTGTATTTGGTGGCGGGGGGAGAGAGTACGAGAGAACAGGAGAGCTGAGGCAGTCACCCAGTGAGGCCTGTGCCTTTTGGCCCGTTGAGGCTGTAAACAGACAGGGATCCCTGGTGTTTTGTGCTTGAGCAGCTCGACTGATTGGTAAAACTGTCTATCACACAGGCTGCTGCCGCTGCTCTCTGTCAATGGTAAACAGACAGGGAGCACAGACGCCTGCCCTGCTGTGAATTCTCTCTTAAACACCAACAACAACTTTAGTCAATGTCTTCTGCAGGGGAACCCGGCCTACCTGTGATTTCTTTCCTCCAGATAAAACGCAAACTGTGTCAGACACACTCAAAGCATTTCATTTTGTTGTGAGGTGGCTTATGACTCAAAAGAGTCATTTTACTCACGGTATTGCTTTTCGACTATATTTGTAACACTATTAATCAGCGAGGATTCTGAAACTGGCAAATCACTTTTTTTAATTCATTAATAAAAAAAATTAATGAATTAAAAAAAATAATTGGGTTTTTACATTATGAAACGTTAACTGGCCAGAGTGTCTTCCACAACAAATCTGACTGCCTGCTGGTCGAACTAAAGGCAGGACGGAGCCTGAAGGAACTGAGGCATTAAACATTGTTTGATAATTCTTAGAGTCTTTAGAGTCTTTGTATCCTATTAGCCGCAGGATTAAACAAAGCTCATTTCAAAGTGGTTCAGAGTTGGAGCCCCATGAGTGCCCACTCTGACATATCAAGCAAGCACTTCCATCATCAGTGCCTTTTTAAATCTTTTTTCCTCAGCCTCACCTTTCAGACAGAAAAGTCACCTTTTGTCACTACAAAGTGATGACTATCCTTTTTAATGAATCATGAATGTAATTAAGGAATCAAATTACTGTCAGGTGACTCTTTGATTACATACATCCCTACTAGGTACAACTGATTAGGCCTTTTGAAACAGTTGGTTAGTGTTTCACTTCCAAACAGAAACTCCAGCATCTGTCTAAACTCACAGATCTCTGCTTTCTTACCTAACGCCTCTCTGAGCTCATTAATTCTAGCAGGCTAGCTCTCCAGGTAAAGTAATGATTTGTTTAGTATTAAGAGTCCAGCCTGCGATTCACTCATGGTATGCTTCTAAAGTGACTGCACTGTCATTTGGCCAGGATCACAGGGAATGCCCGGTCATTCACATAGGTGTATATGCATGAGCATACACACTGATAAGGAACAACTCAGCTGCATACCCAGCGCACCCACACACATGCACGCTAAGATTTAGGGTGAAATACCTGGGGGATTAGGATGCGTGGAATGGGAGAGGCTAAGTCGCAGGCAGATCTCTTAGCATTATCATAAAAGGATGAAACCTTTGGAGGATTATGAATTTCGAAAACTTTTGAAATGTCAAGCACTTTCAAGCTGAACTTTTCCACATGTTATGCATTGCTAGCTGTGCTTGTGGTTACTGGCAATTGAGTTCAACTCAGTTATATAAAACCTATATTTTACACGCACACACACACACACACACACACACACACATACACTCGTCATTTTGTTCAGCTGCTAAATTGCTCACTAATGAAAATAGCTAATCAGCCAATCACATGGCAGTAATGCAACACACTTAGGCATCCTGCAGCTCAAACTGAGCATCTGTATGGGGAAGAATGGTGATTTAAATGATTCTGAACATGGCATGGTTTTTGGTGCCAGATGGGCTGGCCTAAGACTTTCAGAAACTGCTGATCTACATCTCCATGACTTACAAAGAGTGTTCCAAAAAGAGAAGAAATATTGCATATACATCAGTTCTCTGGGGGGGAAATGCCTTGCTGATGCCAGAAGTCTGAGGTGAATGACCAAACTAATTAGAGCTAACAATAAGACAACAGTAACTCAATTGCTTGTTATAGTCAAGGTATGCACCTTAAGGTTCAATTCAAACTGGACTGGCTCACCAAGATGTTTCCAGCACTTTACCAACAAAGAGGTAAGATAGTTCTGAAGCAGCAAGGTGTACCTAATAAAGTATCATCCTTTAATTCTGTGAATAATTAGCTGCTATGGAACATGTGAGGCAGATTAAACAGAGGTGATAAGAACAGCGCAGACAATTTTAAAAGAGATAAAAATAATAGAAAGGAGGTAAAACGAAAAAAGAAAAAGCAAAAACAGATTAGGAATAACAAAAAAGAAAATTACTAAAGAAAATACTCAACAAGAATCACAAACCATGACAAAAGAACTAGAAGTGTAGCTGTCAGCACACTGAACCACAATATATTTATTCGATGTCTAAAAATTCTAAAATGTCACTGCTCGTAAATCTCTAACTGATCATTTTCTTTAATGGAAAGTCGGGTTAATTTTTTTAAAATCCATTTACTAGATTTGAAGCATATTATTCACAGATATAATTTTTATTTCAACTGCTACGCTAATGACCATCTTATTAAAACCTGGAACAACAAGAAACATTTTGGATCACATTATCTTCTTTAGGAATATAGCCCATAATTTCTTCTTTGCATTGGCAAAATACAAATGAGCTATTTAAAATGAAACAAAAACTGTGGCTTTAATCCAAAGAAGAACAGAATATAGAGAAAAAACACGAGTACAAACCTTCATTTCAGCAGGTTTGTAGTAGCGGCGATTCTTGTCTTCGTTTGCGGTGCGGTAGCCGTCACGGAGGAAACGTTTGAAGCCATATTTGCCACGGAGCTTGCGGACAATCTTGTCAAGTGTCTGAGTGTAAAGAGCATCATCATCAACAGCAAACGCAGGATAGCTGATGGTTGGAAGTAAAGCTGCATCTGTGTTCTGCCGGAGACAAACAAACAAACAAAAAAAAAAGATTTACAACAATTATGAACTACGTGAAATGTTTTTGCCACATTTGCTATATATAATATATATTTCCAGGCTGATATTTTTACTTCTTTTTTTAAAATTTTTATTTTTTTTTAGCTACATTTAGTGTTTGTGTAAAAATCCACTGGCATTTTAGGTCAGAGAAATATTTTGAAAATTCCACAAGGACCAAAACTTTTCCCCAATGACTGCATCTCACAGTCACTTTGCATAACTTCTGAGTATAAAATGAGGGAAGCCACTAAGATAATTTATTGTACATCTATATATTCTACAGAAAGAATTATTAAACATGCGTGAATGCCCATACGCGGTTTAGGAGTGAAAGTGTCGGTTTATAAATAAAACACTACAGCACTGACTACATTTACATACAGGCTATGGTTAGGAACGAATCTTGTTATCAGGCTTGACAAACCACTGTGACTGAGCATCTAATAGTCCCATTTTATTGTTTGGTTTACTCTATTAAGCAAGGGAAATGAAATCTATGAGGGCATAGCTTCACTGCAAACAGCTATGAATATTTAAAGTTTATTAATAGACGGCAGATTCCAAAAATCAAAGCCTTTCCATATCCTGTCTGAGCACTGGAATCTATAAAATAACTGCAGGGACAAGCGCTCTGACATGGACGTGGCTATGGACGTGGCTATGGACGCTTAAGGACCAGATTTCTGTTCTGTTTTGATTTCTGCTGCTCTCCTTTGTAGCGCGTTTCTTTTTTATACTTTGCACATATCTCTGCAGCTCACAGAGGAGCCAGGTGTAGCTCTGTCTAGTCCTATTCATTTATATTCTTCAACTTCTTGTTACAACCCTAATCTACATGGTAACATCCTCAGCAGCTACAGCTGAGAAATCATATCAGCTTGCAACACACTCTGTGCAGGTATTGAATGTGTCTAGAATTGAATACTGGATTTCAATCTTTTGACATATTACATGACATGGTGATAATATATTGATGTTTTGCATATCTTGACACAATCCTGACAATTGTTGGCGTCTCCTGCACTCCTTCAGACTTCTTAATGTCAGTCTCCTATGTCTATAATGCCATTGCTGATCGTCTAATTACACTAATTTCCTCCCAGGCTGTTGGTGACTAGACAATTCTGGCTTACAAGTTCAACACACGCACACACAGACACACAGCTGTAATGATTTAAGTGCCTGCGAGTGTTGGCGAGTAGGAAAGATTTTCCTCACACTTTCTTCTTTGAGCTTTACCTCCCTGCATCTCTATATCCAGCTCTTACTTTTGCCATTTCTTGTCAGTGGTGTACGATCAAGAGCTCAGGTACGGGCAGTGTAATGACTGCACCGTGAGGAACATACATTGTTGAATTGATATCTACTGACACACTGACATGAGTGCGTGGTCTGTTTGATGTGTGTAATTAACCTTATCTGACATATGCGTGACAGGCTACTATTTTGTAGAGCCTATGCATACAGCTGCTTCTCTACACCGTAAAAGAGCGTTGGGGGAAACGTTTGCGTCATGCTGTGAAACTGTGGATATTTTTCTAAGAACAAAGAGATCAGCTCACAGACAAAATGCAACATTTAAACGATATTTTAATATTTATTCTAGTTCTAATATGATCAATTTAGACAAAATAACAAAAAGGAAATAAAAATAAGATTCTTGATTTTTGAATAAACTATTTTAAAAGATTGTTGCATTTTAGAGCAAAACGAAAGGTTACTTGATCACTGTTTTAACGATCACTGCAAGGCGGATATCATAAAAATACTGTGGGAGTTTTTTTGCTCTGACTGCACATTCCTGTATGCCGGTTCAACATTTCTCTACAATAGTTAATAGTTTAAATATTTTAAAAATTGAGCAAATGCAAAGTGCTCACTGTGCTGGACTGACATTGTCATCCCAAGACCATGTACCAATTTGTCATAAGCCTTCAGTGAAATTCAGTTTACTGAGTTTGATTCAATTTGCAAGAACAGACACCTCAGAGCACTTCATATTGTAAGGTAAAAACTAATTAGAGTGAGAACTACAACAATCAGACGATCCCCTATGAAGCAAGCAATGGTGGGAAGAAAGAACCCCCCTCTTTCTCTGGAAGAGACTTCCAGCAGAACCAGGGTAAGGGTTTAGGGGCGAGGTAAAAGAGAAGAGAAAAAAGGAGAGAAAAGAGAAACAAGAATAAAATGCATAATGAAGAAGAAATGGTTACCAGAGAGAGTCCTGACTACAACCCCAAGCTTTATCAAACAAAAATGTTTTAAGCCTAATTGTAGAAGTATGAGGGTGCCAGTATCTCAACTCCAAACTGTGAGCTGGTTCCACAAAAGCGGGGATTGATAGTTGAAAGCACTGACTTAAGTTCATTCTACGTTTGGAAACTCTAGGAACCACGGAAAAGCCTGCACTCTGAGAGTGAATGGCTCTACAAGATGTTTAAGATATGAAGCTGATAATATTTTGCAAATTTTAGAAGTGCTCTATTGCACATATTGCTTTGTGTCGTTTCTGCCTTTTGTTACTTGTAAAATCTGTATGCTTTTCTTTGTTTTATTAAAATTATTTAGAAGATGTACACAGTCAATAAATTGATTGATGTACTCACATGGGAGCGAGACTCTCTGGGTAGTAGAGAGCAAAGGGTTTGCCTGTTCCTGTTGTGAGCATCCAGATCCACAAATATCACAGACCATGAGCAGCCCTGCAGCATAAAAGAAAAGCATTCAATTTACAGCTAAACAATTTGTGCTTCACAGTAACATATAGCTCTATACGTGCAAAACGACAAACATACACAAAGTCCTCCATTTGTCCAAAGAAATAAAAATAAATAAATAAATATGGAAATGCTTAAAATTATTTGGCTTCAAAGCCTCCGGTATTACACCTCCACACATCAAAACACTGTTTCGCTGTAAAACCAGGCAGATATATTTGGATTGCTCATGTTATTGAAGTGCAGTGTGGGAGTGCTTAAACAACAGCTAGTCATCCGATCACTTTAAAAGTCTCCCTGTACAAAAATGAAGCACTACTACCACGATGCAGTTTGTCCATCCAGAGCACTTAAACACTTCCATGAGAGGAAGGGGGGGAACATTTTGTGCTTTTTACTCAGTAAGGGAAGCAATCAAACCATTTTTCAGGAAAAAAAAAAAACAGTCCACTGCACTTCATCCATCCATCAGCAGTGCTTATATGAAACCAAGTGGGCAATTCCCCCAAACTGCTAAGCAGTTTCTAATGCAAGTCAGATGCATTATGTATGAATATTGCCAATGTCGCGTTTTTTATTTCTAAAAAAAGAAAGAAAAAAAAAACACATCTGGCCAAGGCTTTTAGTCAAATCAGCAAGCTTTCCTCTAGAAATTTACATAGTGCATACATAGTGAATTGCTAGCCACCAGTGTAGACAGCTGTGTGGCAAGTTAGTGAAAAAACCCACATAAGAAAACAGAGTGTTAGAAAAGCAACGTATAAAAACACTAACCCACAAAGCAAGCATGTAAAATGAGTGTTTTTGCCTTTTAGATTTGAGCCATTTTGTCTTCTTTTATTTAGTCACATTTTTTAAGCAGAAGCAGACAGTCCAACCAGCTTATCATGATTTAACTACTACATTTTTCTATTTACTTCTTTTACAAAAAATAAAAAATAAGTTTGAATATGCACTGTATATTTGTAGCATAATATCTCTTCCAACAGAACTAAGCAATAAAAAAAAAATAAAAAAAACTAGGCAATGAGTTAAGATAAGACATAATCTGTAGAATACTTTCAGTGCAACAGCTCAACCCTTTTTGAGCAGTGGATGCTGTTTTAAGGTTTTCTTCAAACCATCTTTGATTTTAGAAAACTAAGCACTGCTTGTTCCTTGTGCATCTATCACTATGCATCCTCATGAGTGATCTGAAGTAAAAAAAAAAAAAAAGTTGACTATAACCTGCAGTCTTTGATAGTCTTTGAAGGCAAATATCTGTCAATATAAATTATTTTCAGGTTTTTCTCAATACAACCATCCTTCCACCTACTGTGAGGATTTGGCTCACGCCTCTCAAAAAAAACACTGATGTCATTGGGGTTTTTTATGGTCTGCTATGAACATTGATTGAATGTCAATTATTTAAAGCCCATTTTTTAAAGACACTATAATGATTTACTTTGAACTTTAACTTGACACCACTTTCTATGCACTGATATATGTATGAAATACATTTAATTTACAGAAATATATTAAACTGGACTTTGTTAAGCATGTGCTTGGCTCTGCTTTATCCCTGCTCTTGACACGGTGTGAATTAGGTGACAGTCCCTTGAGAGAAACTAGAATGTGTTGGGATTTGATTGTAGAGCCGTGTGTAAACAGCACTGTGAATTTAAAGACCGGCTTTAAAGTTGAAGGATCCTCCTCATGTGAGATCAATTTTATCCGCCCAGTTCAATTTGTCACACCGAGAGGCTTCTATCATGCGTTCAGTGTGACTTTGAGGGGGCTGTGGTGAGGGGTCGGGTGTGACTTTTTCAAAACTGAAGGATGCGTGTCTGTCCATGTAATACAAAGGCTAACTGTGATATACAGCCACAAGAGTGTGCAAAAGTATGATAGAAGAGTTAAGAGTGTACTGAATGTTCCGGTTTAGGGCGTCGAGGGGAAGGAGCTACATTTGGTGCTTGAGCGTCAGCTGGGACATCAAGATTGAAAGAGATCATTAATAAGCAACTGGAAAGCTTGTAGCATTCCCACAAAGGGGCACGAGACCGGCAGAGACAGGCACACTCATTCTCTCACATGTACAGAAGCCCCATACAGCATGGACCATAAAGCAGCCACCTCTATAAATTGATTCTTTCAACAAGCTTGAGCTCAATGACAAAATCCATTTTCAGGCACAGTTAAATCCTTTATTTTGCAGATGTTCAGAAGAGAAACACAAACAGCAACTTTACGGTCATACCCGACAGCCACATACGATGAGAAGATAAAGAGTCTAAGCTTAAATGGAGAGAACTGCCACACAAACCATTCTGGGAAAATACCCGAGTGAAGAAAATAAGAAGAAAAGATAATAAGAGAGGAAGCTTGCTAAGTGGAAGGCTTCATTTTCCAATCCATTAGCAGGTATAATGAATGTCTCTGTTTTCTTCTCCTAAAAAAATTAAATAAATAAATAAGAAACATATCCACTAATGGACTTTGCACACAGAAAAACAGCCTCTGAAATTTGAAGGGAAACCTGATTCAACTGTGGCCATCGATCACAGTCTGTAGAAGCACAAACAATTTGCTGAGACAAACACAAACATGCACAAACATACTTCCCTGATCAATCGTCCACTCAGAGAAGCAATCTTGCTACAGTGACAGCGGCACTAATTACACTGATGCCGTCTACCTGTAAATAAACTGCAGTTTTCTACTAATCAGGCTGGTCATCGGGGTGACATTGCACCCAGCTAGGATACCTTCTTGATGTACAGAGGAGATTTGAATGGGCTATAATGCAGTCTACTACCTGGTGGCACAGTTAAACAGGAGACAAATCAATGTGAGTTCGGAAGAGGTGGCAAAGTATAAGAAGTCAGGGAATCAAATACCTGATTTCCAAACAGGTTGAATCCATTGATGGCCTCCAGAGCAGCTTTAGCAAGGCCCACAGAGCTGAAAAGAAAAGAAACTGCAAACTTTCACCAAAACATACAATAAGCAAGTATAATTCAATCTAACATTGATCAGTTTAAGAATATATTATTTTTCATTCTTAAGAAAGCAGAAAAAATGATGCAACGTGAATCAAATATGTTTTGAAAATGTCAAAAGTCCCCAAAGTTCACCAGAAAGCCTTCTGAATCACATTTGAATCTTAAATGGCTATCTGTTAGGATTCAATAAAGCTGAAGGCTCCTGAGATTGTGGTCTACTTTCGATAATGGATGATGGAGAGGAGAGAAAAAAAAAACAAAAAAACATAGTGCATTTCACAGTGGCTGGCTACTGTGATTGCAATGCAGCCTAAATGTGAATCAATTTTACTGTCATTTTGTTTCCCTTTCTACCCTACCAAGATTTCCCTAGAAAAGAACAGAGAGGAGAAAGGGAAAAAATGCAGGAAACTTGCCACTGACTGGTGGTAGATGTGCTGACATATTAAAAAGCATTAGTACAGATGATGGGAGGCTAATTTAGCCTCTAAAAGAGTTCTGCTGAAAGTAGTTTTGTGTAACACACAGAGATACACAAACACGCGCAAACTGACAGCAGTGGTCAGAAATCCTGACAGTACCTCACATGTACATAGAATGCTTTAAAGCTTTGTGGAAACCCAGGGTGTTAAAAAAAGTGATGCTTGGAATCAGGACCAGAGTAAAATGATGATGCAACCATGTCGGTTGACAGGTGGAGATAAGGATTCGCATGATGAAAATATTGCTGCAGACTGTACAACAGTCTTCTGCTACTCTGAGAGTAGGTGTGTTTACATACAGTGGTTCAGTATTGAGCCACACACACCAACTTTTCTTTACTTGATTAAAAATGGACAAACTCATTGTGATTGTGATTCTGCAGTTGACAGAACCACCGACTGCTCAGGAATGATCCATTGTGAATCCTGTGAGCTTAGAGCCATATTCGTGTTTCGAAGCAGGACGTGACAGATGAGGAATGGTTCTAATATGGAGTTTGATTATTATACAGATCGTGTTTCCACGGAGCCATTCTGAATTGTTTCGTTTTTGGATACGCCATGGTAATTAATACAAAAGTACATATATAAGCCAACTCATTAACTGGGGGAATCCAAAAGCATGGCGTGCAGAGATAGAAACACGAAAAGACACAGCACTCCTCAATACACTGAATTTGTTATCTTTTCTTGAGGACATCTTGACAGGCTGGTGCCAATAGCTCTGGATTGTTGGAGAAAGAAAAAAAGACATGCTTTTCAGAGATAAGCAATAGCAGAAATTGAGGATCTTTATCAAGAAACCGAGCGAGGAGAGGAAGGCCGGTTTGACCTTGGATGATAAATCAGTTAGGGAAAACGTAACAAAAAGTCAACACGGGCTAAGAACAGTGCTGGTGTTTGAAAAGGTTGTTCCAAATCCTTATCTGCATGGTGGTTAACCATTCAGATGGCTGGTCCATTACATTTTCTTTTAATATAGGTTATTTACTTGCTGACTGACATTTTTTTTTAGCTACCAACTTGTGCTGATTTGACATTTCCATCAGTACACACTGACCCGACAAACACCTCACTAGATCAAATAGACTTGATTATAAAGAAAAGCATTACATGTTCCCACATTTCTGCTGCTTCCTGCAGGAAATACAGTGTTTTTACATTTATTGTTTGGCGCTGATCTATTTATATGGACAGGAAAGAAAAAGAAGATTGAATAGATAAGAGTCCTTCTTGCTATAGTTACTGTTGTTTTCTCTATAAGCAAAAACCAATGACTGTTTTCTACAGTCATTGGCAAAAACCATTAGAATTTCACAATCTAGTGAATTAAAATACATAGATATTACAAATAAAGTTAACTCAGAGCCCTATTACTAAAAATCTGAAATAATTAGGGGTTTTGTAGTTAATTTCAAGAAGATGGAACACTCTACATCATTGTTGTTTTTCCAAGTGTTGCACTCACCGACAGTGAGACAGAAACAGAGGGCCCAGGCAAATATGATTTGCAGTTGCGTAAGAAGAAAACCAAAGTAATATTTTAGTAAAACTAAAAGATCTGTTTTAACGGGTGTATTTATAAAACTAGAAGAGTATCAAGGCATAGTTTCTCTTGGCCCATGGAGCATTTAAGCACTATTGCATTTTTAAAAAATGATTGTTTCTCTCTTGTGACTCATCAGTAGGCACCTCAGTTTACTGCTAAACCCACTGCTCAATCCCCAATTTAAAGCAACAGCTGCTAAGATTTTAAAAAAAGGGGAAAAGAAAAAAAACATGAGCAGCTAAGGTGAGCACAGTGAAGAATTTACCAGCTAAAGAGTGACGCATTTCCCTCAGGTGTGGGTGGACAAGGTGGTGGAAGGTGACTCGATATTGGTCTACTCATCAGATACATACAAAAAATGACTCCAAATGCATCCTAATGCATTAGACGAGTGGATGTGTAAAATGGCAACTCTTAAGTGACACATTTAGCATATTAAATATATGTCAAATATATCCATCCATTGTCTTCCCTTTGTCCATTTCAGGGCTGCGGGTGGCGCTGGAGCCTATCCCAGCTGTCTTAAAGCGAGATCCAGGGTAGAACCTGGACAAGTTGCCAGACTGTCGCAGGGCTAACACACAGAGACAGACAACAATTCACACCGAAGGGCAATTTAGAATCACCAGTTAACCTAACCCCACAAACTGCATGTCTTCGGACTGTTGGAGGAAGGTGAAGTACCCGGAGAGAACCCACGCAACACAGGGAGAACATGCAAAGTCCACTCAGAAAGACCCCGGCCTGATGGTGGAAGTGAACTCGGGACCTTCTTGCTGTGAGACAACCATGCTAACCATGTAAAATATAGTGGGTTTGCAAACCCATGAAGTATGGGTTTGCTCTAAAAACATTTATTTTGAATCTTTGATACATTCTCACATCTTTTTTCTGGTGTTACAACTTTCCCACAGACCTTATTTCAGGTATGTAACTTAAGTTTTAGGACTTTTGCAGCACCCTGCATACAGGACATATTCTGGCCAGTACTACAAAAGTGGTAAAAGTATAGAGAAAAGCAAAAGTAAGGTAAAAAAAAAACAAACAAAAAAAACGAGAGTGTGGAGAGAATGTTTTTGTGTGTTTTCTTTTTACTGACCTGGAATGCAGTTCAGTGCTGCCATTATTGTACTTGCTGCCTCTCTCCCACATGCCAAAGTCAGGTACCCTATATGCTCTTTCCACACAGAAAACCAGGTTCTGGATGAAGGAAACCTGCATGTAGAAAACAAACATACATGGGACACTCGGAAAAAAATGCAACATACTGTGTTTATGCAACCTGCATACACAGAGTATACTGACACACACACGCCCATGCATGCATAAACGGGGCTAGAGACAGAAGATGTGTCCAAAAAGAAAGTGGAATCGCAGTACATAACGTAAAATGCAGCTACGC